CCATAGATGTTAGTAAAGATAGAATACAGGCCCTCGTTACCTGCTAGCTGGGATGAAAGTCTAGCTCCCCACTTAGAGTTCTTTGACAATATTTTATGGAGGATTTAGGGCATTTTCTTAAAGCTTGGCAAAGATGTAAGTCTAGCATCCTCACTTGGCCTTTGCTGGTTGAGGTAGGGGTGGAACTGATGTATTTTCTGTGGTGTTTAGCTAGAGTAGAGCAGTTACCATCTAAAAATTTTCTGTCTTGTTGGACTGGCCCTTTCCTTGCTCTTTTCATAAGGAAAGCAGGCTTTTCTTGAGTTTCCCACCCCTTCCCACTCCTGTGGCATTTCTGGGTTTCCAGTTCTTCTGGCACCCAAACTAGGATATCCAAAGGAAAAAGAAAACCCATAGAATTCACTTCTGTGTTGTCACACAGGTTTCAAGATTCTTAAGCAGTTTACATACTTATTTTAACCTTTCAGAGACTTATTGTTTCTGTTTTATATAATGTCCAGGCTTTTTGGCTGTTCTTTGCAGGAGGAATAGGTAAAAGTACATCTACTCATTCTTCCTGGAAATAGAAGTCACTAATAACATTTTAGTAACTAGTACAGTGAAACCATATCAAGGTGGTGATCAACCAAATTGAATTTTCCAGAATCATTGTTTGTTTTAACTATTTTATACCATTGATAAATAACTAGATGTTATGAGGGACAGTGGTGGATAATAGTAAAATACACAGACTTTTGAGTTAAGCATCTCTTACTTTGAATCCTGATCTGGACTTTAAGAGGTGCATAATATTCGTAAAATTACTTAACACTTTCGGAACTAATTTTCCACAACTACAAAATAGAAATAATAAGAGCTGCCTAATATGGTGGCTGCACAAATTCAGTACAACAATATAAATAAATAGTACCTGATACAATAAATTAGAATGATTATAATTTTAAAGTATACATTTCTTTTTTAAGGTATCTTTATATGAAATAGTAAATTACTCCTCAGAGCACTAATCGGTACTTTTCTGTCATGAAGTGGTGAAGTGGAATAAAGAGTTTTTAAAAGTATTTTCTTCTTGATGCACCATGGGATCAGATTATAGAGAGCATTTGAATTGTTTAACAACCAGGCGTTGCTGCAGATGAGCACACTGTAAGCTCTGAGAATGCTTTTGAGAGTATCTTATATTTTGGCCCATGACTCACTCTTTGACATTAATTCTTCTCTATAAGGGATTAATGTACTCAAGAATCAATATGCTTTCAGACAGATCCTAGATGGGTGAGTTTCTTTGCTGGTCAGTATTTTCATTATTTACAACTTATGTCAGCAATATTCCCTACTCGTCTTGCAGTATTTGAATTTATTCTCTTATTTTAGTCCTGAATGTTGAACATTACTCTAAAGGTCCTTTTATAACTTGATTTACCAAGAAAGCAGATTAGGAATCTTTTTGAAGACTCAGAGGCCCATATAGGGGAGCAATTAGGAAAAGCGTACTATTCAGTTCTGTATCCTAGTTACATGGGGTGAATATTTTGAGTTATTCTGCAAATATTAATATTTACATTTAAAACAATATATTTCTCAGTACCACCAAGTTATTCTATACAAATTTTTTCTTAGTCTTTTTTCATTATGACAGATATCTTCTATCATTTTCCCTCTTGAATTCCATGTTTTAATGAATTTTCTCTTATGTGTTTAATCAATATTTAATTATATTTGCATTATTTTGTATGCTTTCACAATGTTTATATACAGTGCTTAAGAATATATGATATAGTTCATATCTTGATTTGTAAATGCCATTACCCACTAAAATGAATCAAGTTTCCTTAGAGAAAGGGCAAATTCTAGGACCAGGGCAAAGAAAGTATGAGATGATTCTGTAATATATTTTTGTTCTAGAAAATAAGGAAGGGTGCAACAAATTAGGAGGTCATGTAAAAAATGACCCAAGAGTCAGCTTGAAAGGGTTCCTACAGGCCAAATCTGGAGCAATTTGAGCATAAAAGTGAATAATTACAGTAATGGATTTCAAAATCCACTGATTTAAAAAGAATCCATGAGTCTATGCTGAAAATATATACATGTATAATACACAAATGAGAGGAAAGGGGAAGATCTCATTTACAGTATATTACATATATGTACACACACACATATATATATAATGACAGATATTATGAGTTGAATTGTCTCCCCCAAAACTCATATGTTGAATTCCTAACAGCCAGCATCCCAGAATGTGACTGTAATTGGAGGCAGGATCTTCAATGAGATGTTTCAAAGTTAAAATGAAGGTAGGCCTTAATCCAATATAATCAGTGTCCTTATAAAAAGAGAAAATTAGGACATGAACAGCACAGAGAAATGACTGAGTGAGGTAAAGACACTGAGAGGGCACTCATCTTCAACCCAAGGAGTGAGGCCTCAGAAAAAAATGAAACAGCCTCCAGAATTGTGAAAAAAGAAAAAAAAAAACTTGTATTGTTTAAACTATCCAGCATGTAGGATATTGTTATGGCACCCTGTACAAACTTTACCCTGTATAAAAGTTCTTTAAAAATAATTTAAAAATATACTTTTTAAAAAGAATTATACAGCCATCATAGCAATAAATTGATTCAAGAAAGAATTATCAGTGCATGCATTGCATAAAGTTTGAGAATGGATAACATATTTACATGATCGCGTACATGATCGCAGGATATGTCCAATTCATTACTTATTAGTTTCAAGGAAAAAAAAATATTTAACAATGGAGAAACCTGATGAACACCTCAACCAAATGATCAACATTGACATCATTGATAATGGTACAAACTGATATTTATGTTCCCCCTGATGTGAGACACTAAGAAAGACAATTAGTAGGCATTCAGTCCTCCCAACAAAACCATAACACATGTATTGAATCAGATAAACTCAAATTGAGAAATATTGTTTAAAAACTGACTGCTCTGTGTAATCCATAATGTCAGTGTCACAAAAGAAACAGAAAGGCTAAACTGGTCTGGCAGAATAAAGAATTAGTCTAAAGGCTATAAAGAAGTTTCATGGATAATTGTCAAAATTGGAATTTGGACTATGTATTAGATAATATATCAGTGTTAAAATTACTAAATTGATAATTATACAGTGATCAAATAAAACGTCCTCCTTGAAGAGTGATGTCTGCAAAACAGGGGAACTAGAATTCTCAGCCCTCATTTCCCCATAGAAACACTGATTCAAGGACAATATGTGAACCAAAATGCCTTTATGAAAATTCGAAAATGTTGCAGTACCCCTGGTGAGGCCAAAGCAAAGAACAGCTACATTGAAAAGGGTAAGGAGCAATTTACTTTGCTTTTCTTGCATCAGCTACCTGCCTGAGTCAGTTCAGCTCAGCACCAAGAGAGAATGCCCTGGCATATGGCATAAAGCTCACTGATAAAGACAAATATATAAACTAATGCAGAATACAGTAATACTGTGACTGTGGTGCATAATCAATTCAAGTATAGAAGATGAAAGATAAAATTTAAGATGAAATATAAAATTTAAGAAATGTCTATAACTATAAAAATATGCTACTGGAGAGATAATACAAAAATATGTAATTGTGACATCAATGGCATAATGTGTTGGTGAAAAGTAAAAATGTGGAATTTTTGTATGTAATTGAAGTTGTTATAAGTTAAAATATATTATTATAACTATAATATGTTTTCTACCAGTCACATAATAATTGCAAAGAAAATAAATATAGAAGAGCCACAAAAGACAATGAGAAAAAAATCAAATCATGTCACTCTAAAAATTAACAAAACACAAGAGAGGACAGCAAGAGAAGAACAAGAGTCCAAAAAGCTACAAAACTGACAGAAAATGATTAACATAATGGCAATAGTAAGGCCTTCCCTATCAATAATTACTTTAAATATAGATGGATTAAACTCTTGAAAGTAAAAACATACAGTGACTGAATGGGAAAATATTCAACTCTATGGCATCTACAAGAGACTCACTTTAGATTTAAGGAGTCTCTTGGGCTGAAAGCAAAAAGTTGGAAAAAGATATTCATACACTGGTACCCAAATGGCAGGGATGGCCATGCTTATGTCAGGCAAAATAGACTTAAGTTGAAAACTGTTAAAGAACACAAGGACATTATATAATAATAAAAAGATCAAGTCACTAGGAAGAGATAACAAATATACATGAAACATATATATATGTGTGTGTGTTTCTGTGGGTATGTATATACGTATGTGTATATCTATATATGTGTGTGTGTGTGTGTGTGTAGCAAATATCAGAAAATCTAACTATATGAAGCAAACTTTAACAAGATTAAGGAGTAAATAAAGAGAAACACAATAATAGTAGGTAATTTCAATTCCTACTTTCAATAATAATTTATCCAGGCAGAAAATCAATGATAATACAAAGTACTTGAACAGCACTGTATACTGAATCTACTGATCAGACATACACAGACCAGTCCATCCAACAGCAGTAGGATACCCATTCTTCTCAAGCACATGTGGAACATTCTCCAGGGTAGATCACATGTTAGCTCACAAACAATTTTACAAATTAGATAATGATAGAAGAAAATGATACATTCCTGGAAAAATAAACATACCAAGATTAATCATGAAGAAATAGAAAATCTGAACATATTTCTAACTAGCAAGGAGACTGACTTTGTAATAAAAACCTTCCAACAACAATAACAAAAAAGCCAAACATCAAAGGACTTCCCTGGTTCTACCAAACATTTAAAGAATTAACAGTAATGTCTCTCAAACTTTTTCAAAAAATTAAATAGGAAAAAACATTTAAATCAAGAAATACAAATCAAAACTACAATATATCATCTCATACCTGTTAGAAGAGGAGAGGTGCTATGTATACAATTTCAGTCATGCAAAATGGAAGAGTTTAAAGACCTTCCATAGATCATTTTGCTTACAGTTTACAATACCATAATGTGCACTTAAAAGATTATTTTGAGCTTTGCGCAGTGACAGTATCGTAGCCAATGAGGTTTAGCCAAGGCGCAATTATTGCTAATTGAAAAACTTTTTCCAATACCCCGCCACGACGACTTGAGATATAGTTGTCATTGGCAATTTTTGGCAGTCTCTATGGAAACTGAATCATAAAAAAAAAAGAAAAAAGGATTATTTTGAGAACAAGTTTTATGTTGTATTTTTGCCACAAATTTTAAAAATAAATATAAACTTGATTTTGTAACTTAAAACCGAGAAAAGAAAATGTTTTTCTTAGAAAATACCTACTAAAATGTTTAGGAGTAAAGGGGCATAATTTCTGTGACTTGCTCTCAAATGATTCAACAATTAAATTAAATACTACTAATGTGTGTGTGTGAGTGCATATGTGAAGAAAGAGATAATGATAAAATAAGTGTGACCAAATTCTAATAATTAGAGAATTTAGGTGAAATATCTATGGGAGATAGTTGCATTACCTTTATAACTTTTCTGTAAGTTTTATTTATTTTATCCGCATTACAAAGTTAATTTCAGATTCTAAATACTGATATCTTGAGTCTACTTCTTGGTTTTGTGTCACTTATGATGTGACATTGGGGGATTTATTTAAATTATTTAAACCTCAGATTTCTAATCTGTAAAATGAAAGTGATAGTACAGTCTCTTTACAGTGTTGTGAGTAGTGAATAAGGCACTATCCATAAATTTTTCATCATATTGGGAATAAACAATCTCTCAAAAATATTAGCTGAATCCAGGCTTGGTGGTACACACCTGTAGCCCTGACTACTCAAAAGGCTGAAGTTGGTGCATTGCTTGAGCTCAGGAGTTTGAGACCAGCCTGGACAAGAGTGATATCCTGTCTAAACAAACAAACCAATTAGCTGTCATTAATGCCATTTTAATGTTAATCTACTATAAAACAGTAATCCATCAACATCAACTGTTTAAAATAGACATTTGAAATTTTTAAATTTGTATAGAAATTGCCACGTATGCAAATATCTATATACTGTTTACTAGCTGATCAGCTTCAGCTATTACTGAAAACAAGTCAGATGAAATACTCAACATTATCAAGCCAACCTTTATAACTCATTAACCTGAGTCTCCAGTTGGTATCTGGATTTCCACATCAAGTACTATAGGTCCCTTGGTTGATCGAATACTAAAGGTTTCTGTTTGCTATTAACAAATAAACTGTTGATATTCTGTGTTTCAGATATTTCCTCAGTGAATGGACATGAGATCAGAATAGAGAAAAAGGAAAAGAAATTGGCACTTTGATTAGTTAGCTTACCACAAATTATTCTGTGATTGCTGTAAATTTTCTTGAATTACAACCTTCATAGATTCCAGAACTAGTTTCTTAAGAACAATTGAGGGCCGGGCGCGGTGGCTCAAGCCTATAATCCCAGCACTTTGGGAGGCCGAGGGGCGTGGATCACGAGGTCAAGAGATCGAAACCATCCAGATCAACATGGTGAAACCCCGTCTCTACTAAAGATACAAAAAATTAGCTGGGCATGGTGGCGCGTGCCTGTAATCCCAGCTACTCAGGAGGCTGAGGCAGGAGAATTGCCTGAACCCAGGAGGCGGAGGTTGCAGTGAGCTGAGATCGCGCCATTGCACTCCAGCCTGGGTAACAAGAGCGAAACTCCGTCTCAAAAAAAAAGAAGAACAATTGAGGTACTCTGGACTGCACTAACTTTGTTAGTGCAGATTTCACCAAATGGTGGAAATATAACATGAAAGAATTCTTGCACATTACGCTAGCAATAAAATATGTATTACCTTGTTTTCCTTTGACAATAAAGAAAATATTGTGGCAGGAAGCAATGCACACATTTGTATATAAAAGGCTCTGCCTTAGAGGGTGGGACTCTGGGTAGGACGGAGTCTATCCAGTCTGCTTAGAAAAGGCTATGGGTTGGAACGATGAAATGACATCTCTGATTTTAGTCCCTTAGCTGGAAACATTTATATTTTGGATGGAAAAATAGGCCATAATATTAACCACAAACAATAGCAGCATTTTGCGCTATGAGGAAAGCAACTATGAAACTAATTCATACTAACATATAAATGATGAATTGTCCTGAGACTTCGCCCAAGAATTACAGGTACCTTCCTCCCCACTGAAAGTAAAATCTCTGGAGGTCAGAGGCGCACGTCACAGTCATTTTATTACCTTTTGCAGCTCTCAGTAGAGTGCCTGACATATGTTAGGCGTTCAATAAATACAGTTTGAATGAGCAAAAAGCAAGTGGGATTTCAGAATAGACAATGACGTGAGGTGAGAAATTTTCAGAAATATGAGGAAATTTGTTTAGTAACCAAGGTTGACTGGGAAGAAAAACAAGTTCTGCCTAGGAGCCTGACTAAGTTCAGCTCTTCTAACTGTAACTTCATTTCACCATTTCATTCTTTTCCCTATTCATGAATGTGAATTGATATAATCTCAACAAAAATCTGTGTTGACCTTGTCCCATGTGTTTCTGATTTTGGAAGGCCCGTTTACACTCTTTAATGACACTCTCAGCAAGTACACCTCACAAAGGAAGACCCACACTGCAAAACCATGTGGAAAATTGTACTGGGATATTACTGAACACAATACCAGAAATATATCCCTGCTGCTAGGCTAGCAATAGGTGAATAATGTGTTTATAAATGTAGCTTTAAAATATCAAAGTAAGTACTCTTTTTATATAAAAATATGCCATGTTCTTTCCAAAAATATTCTTAAACTTAGGGGTATTTAACACATATATATTTTCTATATTACAGTCTTTTTTCCAATTTAGACAAGTCTACTTCATGTTTTTTTTAAATTTCCTTAAGTAGTGTGATGAAATCCTTACTAATTTATGACTTTTATTTCTGGGTTTGAAGCCTACTTCAATATTTTATATATAGTAGCTTTCAAATAAGTGTAGATGATTTTTTATCTTGCGTGCAATTGATCTAGTTTGAATGGTTTTTAGTTTTCCATTCATACAATATTTTAAAAGCTAAACAGCTACTCTGTATTAATTCACATCAGCTTTGCATATATACATGCAAATGAGGAAATGATGTATACATACATATATATGCAGTGACAGGCAAATTAATATTTATGAACCAAATTTGCAATGATTCAATCCCAGGAAACAATGGTTTCATTTTATACTTATTCTAAAATTGATTCTTTTTGTTATTTTATAAGCTGAGTTACTGAGTCCCCTAAAAATTGTTTATTAATTGTTGTGAAAAACACTAGTTTCAAACATCCAGCAGGTGGTTCCAAAGTTAAGTTTCTGCTATTAAATGGCATATAGCAGCATTAAAAACATAATATAATATGTCCTGATTTTCAGGGGTTGTTCAAAATAGAGAAAAGCATTGAATCACTGAAGTTATCTTTGTTGAGCTTCCAGATTATCTGCCCTATGAAGCTTTTGACAACATTTTTGCAGAAAATTGTATTAATATTTAAATATTTTCATTGTTTTAACAATGATGTCTTTTCTTCTTCTTTTTTTTTTTTTTTTTTTTTTTTGAGTCAGAATCTCGCTCTGTTGCCCAGGCTAGAGTGCAGTGGCACGATCTTGGCTCACTGCAACCTCACTGCAACTCCCTGGGTCAAGCAATCTTCCCACCTCAGCCTTCTGAGTAGCTGGGACTACAGGTGCGCACCACCAGGCTAAGCCAGTTTTTGTATTTTTAGTAGAGATGAGGTTTCACCATCTCACCCAGGTCTTGAACTCCTAAGTTCAAGTGGTCTGCTCACCTCGGCTTCCCAAAAGTGCTGGGATTATAGGCATGAGACACTGCACCCAGCCCAATAATGATGTCTTTAAATGTGGTGAAGTATCATGTTAATGTTTATCTTCTGCTTAAATGCATTCTCCTGTGAAAACCAGTAACTAGAATTGAGGAATTGTTTCCATGCTGCACAGTAAATAGTGAACTACTAATCTGATTTCCATTTCCTTGGTCTTCCTCTAACATTTTTTCATTTGTTATACTTGGAAATCAACATGCCTAATTGTTTCTCTTCCTGCTTCTCTGGCATTTAATGAGCAATGACAATACAGACTGTTGTGTTGGCAAAATTCAGTTTACTGCATCACAAACATGTCAAAAATAATATAATCCTGAATTAATGTTGTAGTAAACACAATTCACACCGCTCCTAGATTCCCTTGGCGCTGAGGAACCCTGGTCTTTCCCTGTATTGCTTCATGTCCTAATAATATTAGCTGTGGGCAAGAGCCATACCCACAGCCTCGTCACAGCCTCCTTCTCACCCACCTTAGCGGGAACTGTAGCAATTCCAGTGCCTGGCAAGTCCTATTCTGAGCTTCATTGCAGCTGACTAGGAGTGGTTGAGAGAGCTGGGTAACATAATCTATAGATAACAGGAGAGTTAATATTGCTCTATGAGAGACAAAATAAAAGAAAAGGAACTATTCAAGGTTTCAGGGACCCATCAAAGACTCTGTAAACACACTACAACATAGGAGCAAGTCTTTCTACTGTCAGGATGCAAGCCAGTTTGCCAGCACCATCTTTTATTTGCTTTCTCTCCTTTTCTACTTCACTTCACTTTATTCTTTATAAAACATTGAACACATGAGCTTTATCTCCCATTTTTTCTGTGGAGACTACAGGCTAATGCCTATGTAGAATATTTTTAAAACAAAGAGTTCAGGTGGCTGAAATAAGAGTTCTAAAATCTTTGCACATTTATAAGACTATAGACCAATGCCATTTATACTACTTTCTGAGGCTGATTTTACTGTCACATTTTATTATGTGCATGACCTGAAGATAATGATTTTTATCTTTCATATAGCCAATAAATGATAGTACAGGGGTTTAAGGTAGCATAAGTTGGCAACCAATTAGATGTAGTTGCAAGGTCTCAAAAAGTTAAGCATAGCACTGAAGTGTTCAGTCTGAGGGACTATAAAGCAATTATTACACCAAAAAACTTTGAGCATAAAAATGTTTGGGGAAAAGATGATAAACCAACTGAACTCTAGTGTGAAATGCCCCTTAATTCTCATCATATTTTAATAATATCTCTTGCCGTTAGAGAATTAAAACTGCAGAAATATCAAATCATGGTTGTAAATTCTTCTCGACCCA